TTATAATCCATCTATTGGATATTGTTTTGCAAATGACAAAGTTTCCAAACACAGAACAAGCAAGATAGCATGCATGGAAAATTGGAAATAGCGAGGCTCACGTATAAAAGCAGTGGGAATTCAAAGATGCAAATGTGATGGGGCACTTAAATTAATGCATAATATAGAGTAGGTAGCTATGATTAAAGACTAATGACGTTAAGACAAACAAATTTTTTTAAAAAAATGAAGGACTAAATCGTGTGCAAAATCTTCTAACCCTTTTTCAACCAGTCTTCTTCCCATTTCCTCGGATGCTTCCTTTATCTGACGTCTTTACTCTCTTTTATGAGATTTTGTGAACACTTTTTGTCAGAATTAGGCATTGGTTGAATCAGAGATACTTGTGTTTGTGTTCTGTAATGAAAATGTTTACGTTCAACATTTTTGAAAAAGTCTGATGTCAACTTATTTTTTGGTTTATTAATAGGTAATAAACAAACCAAGAAAATGATTAATAGAGAAGATACACAATTGTTGACAAAATTATTTTCTTCAATTTATATTTCAAGGACCAAATTAATTAAAAACAGAAATATTCGAACTTGTTCAATGCCTTTTTTCTCGGGCGATGTACCTGCTCAAAACATAAAATAATGTCGAACTATACATATATCAGAATGCTTGTAGCACTCAATGTACATTAAAATATTTGACTATCTAACCTATTTAAATATATAAGCTTAAAATACACAAATTTTAGCTTGCTAGCTCCTATGGTAGATATTAATATAAGAATATCCTATAAATAGGAAGACAATATTATATTTTCCACAAACCACGTGAACAAGAAACACATATAGGGACTGTATAAACGTCACGTATGCAATAATGCTTATGTAAGCAGCCTTTTTATGTCTTATTCTCCGCATCTTTCGTCTACATCTCATGAAAAATCGGAAAATACGAGAGGACCATTTCCATTTTTTTAAATGGACGAAAAGAACATCGACTTTTCACCTATAGATGTTAAAGTAAGGAGGATTCCGGGAACATTTTGCAGAAATTTGGTATTGACAATTTGTTCATATGGGGTCTATAGACCTAAATATTCAATAAAAAAAAAAGAATTGATTCTTGAGTAAACTGAAAAGAAAAAATAGAAACAATTATATAAAAAGAGTAATCGAAGGAGACGGACATTGGTATATATTCAAAGCTGCCCAACTACTAGGT